CCAAATTATAAATTTTTTCTTAAAATCCTGATTTAAAAAACAATAAAAAAAGTAGACCCAAACGGAATCTAAGACTACATTTGAAATATATTTTTAATATTTTCTAAAATAATTATATATATATATATATTAATTAGAAAACTATTTTAAAAAATAATAGCAGTCCCAAATCAAAGTCTAAAAACTTTTCAGGGCAGAAACAGCAAACATTTTTAAAAAAAATATGCAAGTTGTGAACTAAATTGAAAGAACGTGTATTCAAAATTATTTTGTGCAGATACCGGATGGTCCAGAGATTAATTATAATGTGTCATATCACCTGGTACGCAGCAGTACCTGACACCAATACAGAGCAAAAAATGATATGATGCGTTCTGATTGATCTCCGGACGATATGTGATGTCCTCGTAGAATAATTTTTCTAAAATCTGACCCTAACAACCCTCTTAACGAACTTTTATTTCGTTCGGTGTAAGGATGTAGAGGAGCCTTCGGTTTTAGGCAAAAATGCGCCTATACCGAGGTGTACCGAGTTTTTTGAGTATAGACACATTTTTGCCTAAAACCGAACGCTCCTCTACATTCGGTCGAAGGATGTAATAATTGTTCCCTCTTAACAGGAATAATTCCTGGCGTTTTTTACGTCTTCTGCGTTTCTAGAAGCAGATTCTGTCCCGATCTTCATTCTTGATGACCCAGAACGCAAGCTTCCAATTTCAAATATGTTATTTATATAGAAAAAAGTCTCGTGTTGGATAATATATATATTTGCTTTTTTTTAATCTGATATTTTTTTTTTCACATTTATCATATTTTAATATTTCTGATTATAAAAATTATTTCCTGCTTATAATCTTTTTAAATAACAAAATTTTTTTATATCTTAATAGATGTAGGTCACATTGGAGAAATATAGTTATTGTTCTCAATTTGTCTGATACATTTTGGACGATTGAAATTGACAACATTTTAAAACTTTAAAATTATATTTATTTTTGAAAAAATTAAATCTCAAACGTCTAAAATAAATTGGATGGCCTCCAGGAGGGCAAATTATTGGGTTCGGACACTAGATGTGTTCAGAGCCAAATGAAAATACGCACATCACCTACTACTCGGCACTGCTCAGTACTACTCGGTACTCAGTACTTCACAGTACCGAGTTCAATATTGTGAATACCGAACGTAAGCTGTGTCAGATGTCTGAACCCAATAATCTATCATCCAGGAGGTGGTAACTAAATATCTATAGTTATTATGATAATGCATGAAAATTAATTTTTATATTATCATAGACAAAATAATGACATGATAATAAATAATTCTAATAACTCAATTATTTAATATATTGAAAAACCATTCAAAAAAAAAAACCCTCCTCTTCTATCTGAAACATTTAAAGGTGTAAGTGAGTCAAGTCGACTCATGAGCTGACTCGAGCTAAGCTTGATAAAAAAACTCCTGAGCCGAGCTTGATGTGCTAATGAGCTAAGCTTTATTCAGCCCTGGCTCGACTCGTTAGCTCACAAACCGGCTCATTTAAAAAATATTAATATAAAATACACTTTATTAATACTAGAATTTTATGCCTAGAATTTTTCAACATATTTAAAGCTACATCTCAATTTCTTATATTAATTTATTTTTTATATTTTACTATTTTATCATAATAATTGTTTAAATTATAATCATTTACTCTCTTTCATAATAAATGAGCTAGTTCTAATTCGTAGAATAAAGCTCAAGCTTTAGCTAGAACTCGATTACTTAGTCAAGTTCAAGCTCAAGTCAAGAATGACTCGAGCTCAAGCGAACTCGTTTACACTCCTAATAGCATTCCTTAATACACTAATTAATTGAGGTATAGGTGGAGGGTTGGTCGATGTTAATTATAATTTAATGAAGACGTTGATGAATGGTTGGTGGCGATAAGAAAGAATTAATATTCTTTAATGAATACTTAATCTGATTAGCACCACTACGCATGTGGAGATAGATTATTTTTTAAGATTTGATTCATAAGAAACAAAGATCTTACATTGATATTGATTATTATTTGATTAATGTTAATATCATATTAATATGAATTTTGATCAGAATTAACTTAAAAAAATTTTATTGAGAGGATAATCGGTCGTAAATTCGGTGGCAGCGTATGAGTTTTTTCATGAAATAAAATTTATATGAGAATATTTAATGTAAGTATTTGATATGATAAATATTTCAATTCAGTACGTCAGCATATTTTGCTATGCTTTTTTTTTTCGTAAAAATTATAATGTAATGTATATTATTTTAGAGACTGAGTGTTTTGACCCTATTGTGGGCTGGAATATTCACGGAAGGAGAGAGATAAAAAGTTTAACATCTTAGTTTTGATTTTTGAATAATGAACTAGCACATATATAGATAAAGAGAGAGTAGTGTGAGAGTTATAAGAGACATCAAAATTGTTACGTGAAAAATCCTGAAAAGGAAGAAAAACCACGAGTTCTCATCAGGTTGAAATGAATCCACTAGTGTTTGTTGCTACTTACAAATGATGCCCTTCATCAGATGAAGTCATTGGTTAAATGTAGAAAATATAGAGTACATTACATAATTGAAGATTAATTCAATGATGTGAGAGAAATTCTCAATAGAATGTTGGTATGTTCGTTTGTTTGGTAGGACCGTAGTTAGGCGATGGAGGGCGAAAGGATCGTAGTTAGGAGACTGAGGTTAGAGGGATTGTAGTCGAACGACGATGCTCGGAGAGGCTGTAGTCGCCAAGTGACGGTGGTCGGGCTCATCGTGGTCTGTGGGCGACGAAGGAGGGAGGGACTATGGATGATGGGCGACAGTGGTCAGAGTGGTGTGTCGATGGCTGCAGAGCGGAGGTCTTGCGACGATCGGCGGATGGGTGACAGTACAATGACGGTTGTCAAACGGGCGGTGGTCTGTCAACGGTTTGTGGCGAGTCAATGGTCTGACAATGGCCGACAAAGGTTTGTTGGGCATGGTGCTTGGGTAAAACTCTACAATTCTTGAAGTCTCAGAGCTTTCTCTAATTTTAGGCCAAAGGATCCTCCCATGAAAGGAGCATGAGCATATTTATAGATTTTTGTGAGTGACACGCTCTTTAAATATGAAGAATATACAGACCAAATTCAGAGTGCTCAATTGGACAACTCATATTGATTCTTCTGATCATATATCATTTATTTATGAATTTAAGTTCCTAAATGATGGTTGAGTTAAGCAATCTTAGGCTTGTTGGGTTTGTCTCATAGAGCCGCTCGATTCTACTATAAAAATGATATATTTGGATATCATTTGATCATCCAATTTAGCCTTTGGACCTTTCAAGTATGTTTCGGCTCCCCAATTTGGACCCATTTGGGCTCGTATTGGATTAATTTTGGTGTCATTGGGTTTTTCTCTTCGAGACATTTAGATTGACTATAAGTTTGTCGAAATTGGAGTTTGGATGACCCCAAATTTAATTTTGAAAGTTGTCAACTCATATATGTTTTGATTTGCAACATATCAGACTCCAATGATAAGGACTTGAATTTGAGGCCAAATATATTTGGATCATATATTAGTAATTAATTTTGACCAAAGTCCTAAGTGTTAGTTCTTTATGGAATTTGATTGTGTTAAAAATTGAGTTTATTAACTGATATTTCAATTATGTCAATCGAGCTGTAAATCTAACGTTAGGATATTGTGGATTCCCTTTGTGATAGAGAGCTTAACGCTACGCTGCAGAGACAATGATATAGTGCTATGAACCCATTCTGAGGCAGAAGAGTTAGCGTTGTAGGTAGAGCGTTGCAGTGTTGTAAGTCGGTTGAGTCATTTTACTTATTACTTTTTAATAGTTGAAACCAATGGGATGGTTTAACCCTCTCTTCTTTCTTCATTTTGTAGATGATGGATACGAGTTTTGTGACGCCCCAGGCATCCATAGTGAAAGGATTCGTCTGACATAAATACATATTAATGATTTTTTTGATATAATTTAATAGTTTAATTTTATATAAATAAATATAAATTTTAGATGTTCATAAAATTTTATAATATTTAGGTAAATAAAAAAAGAATGAAAACGGACCCGTGGAAGCAATGTTGCGTTAGCATTGCCCATAATGGCTGCAACTGAGAGTGAGAACATATTGATTGGGCCAGTTTCGACTTTCGACTGCCATGGTCCTCACACGGCTTTGAAAGCTCGGAGGCTCTTCGCTTCTTCCCACCAATATCTTCCCTGATCGGCGGCTTCAAATTAAAATTTGTTTTTTTTGAGTGAAAGAGAAAGGAAAGTCTTCATCTGGTTCCTGAGAAGAAACCCTAGCTCACGTTTCCTTCAATTTTACCATTTATAGATTCCGCCGTTGCTCCGTTTCCGAGGATCTCGCCGGAAAGGCCCTTGACGGAAGAGAAATCGAGATTCTGATCGTTCTTTGTCAACCCATTTCGCGATTTTATAATCAATATCGGGACTTGAAATAGTAGCCAGACTGTTGGGTATATGGAATGAAAAGGGAAATCCGTTCCAGAAAGCAGATGCAGATCCGATGAATGATGAGTATGGGATGGGTCACTGTTTTAGTTGTTTCTGCGGCTTTGTTTATTTATTCCATGCCGAGGGGATCGGGAGAGAACATCGGATTATTTATCGGATCCCAGGATTCGAATCCGGCTCCTTTGTCGGATGCTGAGGAAGATATGGTAAAGTCCTTTACTTTTTCTTATTTTTGTTTGTTTGCTTGAAAATTACGTGTTTTTGTCTATAGTTGATCCATTCTTTTAAAATGCAAGTTTCTTTCGAATACCTGGACCTAATTATTGCTTTAGACCAACACTCATCTTCTGATTCAGCAATAACAAATATGAACTGCTGACCAAACTCATGGGTAAGCTGGGAGAGAGTTGGTAATGGCGGTTACATGATCCACCGTAAGGCCTGTTTTAGGACATGGGGGAAATATTCAAAAATTGAGTAGGGAAAGAGCGAATATTTAATTTTTTATTTTCTTTGCACAGTATTCACTGAAATAGATGCGGGAAATAAAGAGAACCGAGAATTTTATAAATGAATTGATAAATAATATACATTCCTTGATTGTAATGTTTCCTGAAATGGTCAGGAAGAAATATTGAGATTTAACTATTGTTGATCTGATCATTGAAATATTAGTTAAAAAGAATACAGGCTGCTTGTTCTGACAGCTCGAGATCTTATACAATTTAGTTGCCTATAAAAATTCCATAATTGTTGATGAATTTGTTGTGGGTTGGAGAATACTGTCCATTCCTTATGCAGAGTTCCAATCCTGTTTGTAAATATGTTTTTGCTACTCAACAAGTAAACTGCACATTTTAGCAGACAAGCTAGCTTGTGTTGTTTTGGGTAGCCATATAAAAGCTCAGCTCTTGGATTTTTTTTTTTTGGTGTGTTAATTTCTTGCGAAGTAATGATGATTGAAGTTCAAATCACTATCGTAATTTTTGTGCAATGTATTGGACTCATTAGGCTCTTGGAATGTAGATTTTGTATCATTCATACATTGCAGGTTAGGCTTTTTATATTCTCTGTAAGGTTTCAAAGAACTCACAATACCTTTACATTAGATTTTCAGTTATACAGTTCAAGGTTGATAAGTCTAATATATGTCGTTTGTATAAAGTTTATGCTATAAACATCTATCCTAAGAGTATCGTGCCGTTCTGTCAATAACTAATTATTTATAAGCTTCTCCCTGTAATTGTTTTGATCCTGTCAAGAATCACGTGGATGCAGATGGAACAAATATGGCTAAATTGTAAGTTGGATTTGTTGGGAACAAAATCTGTTATGAGTGTTGTGAACGAATATGAAGATGTTGGTGATTCGACTAAGCTTGATCTTAAGAAAATGCGGTTTCCAAGAGCGAATGTACACAAGGCCATTAGTAACCTTCCTACTGAGATAAGATACTATCTTATAGATTGTATGATGGAACAAATTCTACTTGTTCCTTCTTTTGGAGATGCAGATCCAGCAAATAGATATGCTAGGCATCCAGCAAGATTACTTGATCAAAATACTATTTCAAGGAAGCATCTAGCAGGTGAAGCAGGTAACAAAAACTTGCTTTCCACCATGTTTCCTGCTTCAGCTCTGATACCACGTCGTCGAAACCAAGCTTCACAAACAACCTCGGCCCTCATTGATGGACTCAAAAGCAATAATTTGCAGCCTTCTAGTGAAGCTCCTTCCCCTGAAGATGATCCTTATAAATTATCTCCAACTCCGTTACCTGGTGGCTATCTTGAACCGGAAGTTAATAATCCAAGTTCTCATCATGCCAGTCCACCATCTGAGGAGAAAAGCAAAAACACAAAAACAATCATTATTGCTGTGGTTGTAACTGCAACAATTACACTTACTATTTCTGCTCTCTGCTTTTGTTGCTTCTATAGATATCTCAAAAACAAGTATCAATTTGATAATGGGCACAGGGATGAAAGGCCGCTTTTATCGTTGAGCCTAAGTGACTTCTCTGGTATGGAAATGCTTCATATGTTTTATTGAATTTTTGGGTGCAGGGTGCTAATTATTTGCTTTTTTTCCCATTCAGTTTCCTCACATGTGGCTTTTGGTCAAGCTAATGCATTCCAAAATGATAAGAATGATGCCTTGTCCTTGAAAGCTGATCCAAACAAAAATGTTCAGGCTTTATCCTTTGATAACCTGGTTGACTCCCAGGTAGATGCAGCACATTCCATAATTTCCAGTTCAGTTGAGCCTACTAATGCACCTAGTCATTCTCTTCAACCAGCTCCTCCTCCTCCACCACCCATGAAGCATCCTCCTGGTACAATGGTTTCTTCTACCCCTCCTCCGCTTTCAAACCCAAAGCTGCCTCCTGCACCGCCAAAAGGTGGACCTCCACCACCAAAAGGTGGGCCTCCACCACCAAAAACTGCTCCACCCCCCAAAGGCGGTCCACCACCAAAAGTTGCTCGACCACCACCAAAAGTTCCTTCTGGCCCACCACCAGCAAGCTCAAATTCCTCAATTCCCCTTCCCTCATCACATAGTTCAGCAAATCCTTTTGATAGCGATGGTTCCAAGACTAAGCTGAAACCATTTTTCTGGGATAAAGTAACAGCAAATCCTGATCAATCAATGGTTTGGCATAAGATTAAGTCGGGTTCATTTCAGTAAGTCTCTCCAAAGGCGGCAGTTATTTTATTTTTCAAAATACTTCTCGCTTAGAACTCATTTGCTTGATGGAGATCAATGAATATCTAGTGCTTGATTTTTTTTTCCTCTTTTTTTTTTTTTTTCAGTTTTAATGAGGAGATGATTGAAACATTATTTGGATACAATGCTGTTGATAAACGCTGGAATGATTCCAAAAAAGATTCGACGAGTGATCCTTCTACCCATCACATTCAAATTCTAGATCCCAAGAAATCACAGAATTTGGCAATTTCTTTGAGGGCCTGGAATGTAAAAGTAGAAGAAGTTTGTGATGCATTAATGGAAGGTAATGGTGCATGTCTTTGTTAATTGTTTAAACTCCACCCACTTCTTGCTTGATTTAAAGGTTAAATTGGTATGGGTCTCTTTAGATATGTGTAGCTTTCTTGGATCCTTTCCTTTTTTCCACAAAATGTATTTTTTTTCTCCTTGATAATAACCAGTGACATTTTTTCATGGTTGAAAGTAAACATGATTAAGTCCTATGATAACATATATAACATAGGAAGAAGCAGATGTATCAAATTGTCATGCACATGCATATATAAATTTATAAAATGCTATCCGCACAAAGCTTAGCTCATGTGCATTGCAGACATATTTTCAAAAATATTCCAAGGAAATATATAAAAATAATGCATATAAATCATCTAGAAAATTGATACTTCATGAGCATTCATGATTTAAACTAATTACATTATGGAGCCATGGTTATGTTATGAATTATGGAAAAAGATATCTGTTTATGGAAGAAAATATGTAAACTTCATTCATGATTTAAACTAATTACAAGATAGAATCCCATGGATGACTCACCGAAGTCTTCATCTATGAGAGAGCCATCTAACCATTCCTTTAAGAGAAAATGCTATAAGCTTACACCATAAAACCCATGCTAAATTTATTACATGAGTATTCTTCTATTTATATCCTTTTTCCTTCATAATTATATGAATAAAAATTAAATAAAATTTATTGGAGCCGATCATGGAGGACTTTTGAAATGGATTTGCAGTTTTTGTATAAACTCTTAGTTCATCTAACTTCACATGAATTTTGAATTGAATGGGAGGCACCACCTCTATAGAGAGGAGAGAGAAATATTAATTTTCTCTTGAAAGGCTCTTCTGAGCTTCAATTATCCATCAAATGTCATAAAATATTTATGATATCTTTATGTAGATAATTACATTACTTCATTAGAATTCAAGCCTTGGAAAGCATATTAAAATCATTTTCTTGCCTTACAATATCATGTAATAAAGCCAAATATTGGATCATAGGAATGGTGCTTTGGGACTTTCATCTTTGGTTTTCTATGAACCTTGATGACCTTAAAACTCGGATCATTGTTCTCTCTCACTACTTTTTGGCATCCATACACCTATACTAAGTGCCATTTCAATAACTGGTCAATTTAGCATAATTTAATAGACCTCATATGAAACAATCATAAGGAGAGAATTTGTCCGTCAAATTGACATAACTTTCCAATTTTGTATAATTTTTTTTGACTTATTATTGGGCCACATCATTGTCACATTGCAAGTTGATCTGTCAAATTGACATGCTGGTTTAGTATAATGATGTTGACTGTTGGCTCGTTATTGTTAAGCTAGAAATTGAGATTGTTCTATTATAACAACGTATGATCCATTGCACCACATGTCATACCATATCAATATGCCATGTTAGCTGGTAGATCTCGCTATCATGTGGCACTCCTTTATTATGCCATGCCACATCAACACTCAACTTTAAGTAAGTTGATTTTCACTAGCCTTATGAATTTTACATAAAGTTTCCTTATCTTTTTTTTGAATTGCAAAAAAAAAAAAAGTAGATTAAAAAAATCTTAAAACTTCAAACAAATTTATCAATTATATATATATATATATAGGCATTTACAACAACAACATCAAGCCTTTATTCCACTACGTGGGGTCTTCTACATGAATCCTTTTTCTCCAATGTGTCATATTAAGAGTCAAATTCTCATTTAATTCTAATAAAGAAAGGTATATATATAGGCATTTATAACAATAACATCAAGCCTTTATCTCACTATGTAGGGTCGTCTACATGAATCATTTTTCTTCATTGTGTCCTATTAAGAGTCAAATTCTCATTTAAATCTAATAAAGAAAGATTATTTCTAATATTTTATAACTAAGTCTTTTTAGGTCTTCCCGTACATTTCTTAACATATGTCAAATCTAATACATCTAATATCCTAATTGGGTCATTGGAAGACTGATGTTTTATGTGACCAAACCATCTAAGGCGACTCTCTCTAATCTTATTTGTCACTGGAGCTACTCCAACCTCTTCACGTATATGCTTGTTTCGTTTTCTGTCTCTAAGAGTAAAGCTACTCATCCACCTAATCTTTCTCATATGTACAATACTTAATTTGATGCTTCTCTTTTAATGGCTAACATTCTGAATCATAAAGCATAGCAGGTCTCACCATCATCTTATAGAATTTTCCTTAAGTTTGAGGGGTACTTTTCTATCACATAACAAGTCCAATGCTTTCCTCCACTTCAACCATCCAACTTGAATTAGTATACCATCCAACTTGAATTCTACTAACAATATCCCTATCTATTTCACCTTCACTCTGAACAGTAGACCCAATTATCTAAAACAGGTATTCTTATTAATGATTTGATCGCCCAAAGTTACAATCTCTCCACTAGGTTTATTACTACCAAAATTATACTCAATGTATTCGATTTTAGATCTACTCAAATGAAAATCTTTGGACTCTAAAGTTGAATTCCATAATTCAAGTTTACTTTTCAGCTCCCTCTCTAGTCTTATCAATAAGAAGAATATCATCAGCAAAAAGCATACACCAGGGTACATCCTCTTGCAAATGTCAAGTAATAACATAAATGACTAAAGCAAAAAGATATGGACTTAAGGTTGATCCTTGATGCAATCCAATTGAAATAGGAAAATACTTGTTCAAATCATTTTGTGTTTGAAGTTTGAACACAAGTAACAACTCCTGCATACATATCCTTAATGACTTGAATATAAGCATTATTAACCTCTTTCTTTTCTAGAACTCTCTATAGCACTTCTCTTAGAACTTTATCATAAGCTTTCTGTAAATAAATAAATGTCATATATAGATCCTCCTTATTCTCTCTATAATTCTCCATCAAACGTCTCAATAAATGTATAGCTTCCATAGTAGACCTACTCGACATGAATCGAAATTGATTTTGAGAAACATCAGTGGCACGATGTAACTTATGCTCGATAACCCTCTCCTATAGTTTTAAAGTATGACACATTAACTTAATTTCTCCATAATTCACACACTCTTGTGCATCACCTTTATTCTTAAAAATAGAGATCAACACACTCCACTCATCTGACATCTTTTTAGTCTTCAAAATAATATTGAAAAGTTATATAGGCATTTAAAGTGCAAAAAATTATTATAGAATTCTAGAGAAATCTAATTGCATCTCAAGGTATCTTCAAGATCTTAGCACGAAGAAGACATTTAATGGAGGTGTTGAACTGAAATACAGTTACTGTCTTATTGATGTTTGTGTTAAACAACAATATATTCTTTTGGATTCAAAGATAGTACAATAAAAATATCAAGAATGCGTGAACAATTAAAAAAATTAGCATTAAGATAATAAAATACTTAAAATCTATGATAGAAGAAGAAAGTAAATCTGCAAAAAATTAGGAGCACAACAACTGTTGGTCGGCTACAACAATTTGTGATTCAATTTATTTTAGCAGTAACCTGGCCTCAAATCTATTTTTAATTCTTTTATTTTACATGTATTAAACCGGTTGGTTTGAACTTCTATTAAACCCAAAGTTGGTTGATGTAAAGTTTTATAAATAGACCCCAAATGCTATAATTGAATTCAGAAAATAAGAATTTTGCCTTCTTCCTTTTCTAATCTCTCTTCTTCCCATTCTTCCTGAAGTAGTCCACACCCCCTCAAAAGATGCCTTCCTCTTCTTGATGATGCGGATCAAGAAGCTTAACAATACTCTTGTTGCACTAACTTCATTCCTCCCAACATTTCCATTCCATCAATCTTATATCTGCCAAGATCTTTCCTCATGCCGGCCCATATTGCACAGGTTTTTCAGCTCTAGAAGCCACCTCTGCTCTTTCCGGTCCTTCACTCTTCATCAAATTATGGTCGGCGGGGCTTTCAACTGTTGCCTCCCGCACAATTCAGCTGCTGTTATCTCTGCGGCCAGTTGCAGTTTGTTGGCTGCCAGCTCCTTCCACCGCCCTATTTACTCGCAAACTTCAAAATTCCTGCAAGAATCTGCAAGATCCCCTTGACTTCTTCCCATCAGACAGCCTCCCTTCAACCAGCACGTTCCAGCCACAGCTTTTAACCTTCAACCTGCACATTCCAGCAATGGTCTAACCAATCTACAGCATTTTGAAAATCATGACCAACATATCCTCCAATAGCCCAAACAGCAACAGATTTGGCCAGTTGCTGCACCAGCTCTTCCTATTTTTTCCTTCTTTTTTTTTCAAGATTGCATGAGGTACCGGTTCTTGTTACCAAGAACTACATCTTTTATTCCCTTTCGGCAGCCACTAAAGACTTCTCAACATAAAAAATGCAGATTTGATGGAAGTTCTCCATACAATGCAAACCAATCAAGAATTATAATTCTCCAATATAAAAAATCTCTGCAAAAAGCCAATGTTCAATTTGCCTCCATTGGCTTATCACTTCAACAATTCTATGCTTTCGTGCGTTCTATTGACAAGAAACTTGATAGTTTGTGTATTGACCGCCCACCTCGTCTACTCCATCAAGATCCTTCATCTTCTGCCGACATCCTTGATTTCGCCGATCAAATCCCTTCTCCATAGCCGCCACCGTCTCGTACAAGTTTTTCTTTTCTTAAATCAATGAAAATTGAACTTCCTCGTTTTAATGGATTTGACGTCGAAACATGGACTTTTAAAGCACAATAATACTTATGTTTTCAAAGCACTCATGATTATCATGTTTTAAAATTGCGCAATTAGGTATTGAGGTGTTTTTCGTTCATGAGGCTAGGTGTAAGCCTCAAGACATTTTGAGGTGTAAGCCTCAATTAAAAAATTGCATACAATCAAAATGATAATTTTTTTTGTATAATAACCAAATAATATCTTAAAAGTTGACATAAGAGATAAATTGTGTTATATATATGAAACACAAAAATGCTTAAGATAAAAAAGTTCCATGATCATCAAAGAAACAATAATTTACATGATCAAAATAA